TTTACTTTCAGTTTTGTTCTATTCGAGAACTATACTCTGAGACTTGTATATTTTTATTCGAATTCTGTATTTAGAGGTTTGTACATGTGACAACCAAATTCTGGGTAGTGTTGAGTCTTAATTAAAGTCTTCCGCTTATTTATTATCTTTTATTCTCGTATTTCTACTTCTCTATCGTTGTGGTTGGGTTAGGCTGACATGTCCGGTGGGAAATGGACATGTGCCATTACATCCGGATTTGGGGTGTGACATGTACGCACTAGATCGGACAGTGAAATTTCAAATATAGTATATTCATGAATAAAATAAATCTCACATTTGTTAGGAATGAACTCTCTAGACGATCATCTCTTCTTGAACTAGCTTAGATAAATCTCTTCTTATTGAATTAGACCCAAAACCTAATTTACCATATTTATAAAAATGGTATAGTTAAGTTTCAATTGTGGAGAATCATTTCTAACATGTATTAAAGCAATATATTAACCCAAAGGGATCGAAGACATGTTCCTATACTTTGCTATTTAATTTGTTAATTATAAAAAGTCATAAAAGAATAATCTGCAGAATTAATGAAACACTGCTTGTTAATTAAATTGAAAATTATAGAATTGACTTTAAATGAGATATACACAACCAAGTTGTTTGGTAGATTGGATCGGGCCTATCACCTAATTTTTATCTACATTTATTCTGTTCATTTAACAAAAACTTGTACTTAATTAAGTCTTTGAAGAATTAAAAAAAATTGACCCAATAAGAAATTAAGTAAAATAATTGAATTTTTTGTCCAAAAATGTCAGAAAAATGGAGTTTTATCAAGGCATGTCACGATAAGCTTCTCAAAACTGTCTAATAATGTTATTTAATGAGCCACTTTGGTGGCGGCTAAGTAATTGGTTGAGCAAGGACTTTTTTAAATCGAGTTTCTATTTTCAATATTATTTACGTGCATTTTTCAATTGAGCTCATCACATTGAAATGATATTTACAAAATTACTTTAAAATGAGATTTATCGTAGGAAGGTTCTTATAAGCTTCGTTAATTCAAGATTAACTTTTACAAAATGAAAGATAAAAACATCTTCCCAATTACTAAGTACTTAACAATAATTAATTATAGATTTGGCAGTTTATGACATTAATAAAAATTACTGCACTTTGATTCAGCAAATAAATTTCATTGGTTGAGAGCCTCTATAGTCTAAAGTTAACCTGGGTATCCTTATCTTCTTTTGTGTACGCAAATAAATAAATCAATCAATGGTTTTTTCCTTTTTTACTCTCTAACATATGAAATTCATTAACCTAACTAATTAAGATTTACATCATAAGATTCATTTTAAAGATAAAAGTGTTCCATTGATTCATTTTAAGGATAAAGTGCTTCCGTTGATGATCAATCACCTAACCTATTAAACAATTAAAAGATTTGCTCCGTTCTATTCGAAGAATGACCCATATGATACAACTTAATCAATTATCCTTGTAATTTATATAAGATTTTAACTGGATTGAATTAAGTTTCTTAAAGTATGTTTCTTATCTCTCCCCAACCCCCTCCCCCTTTGAGCTTGTTCACTTATAGGGTGATCCTTACTCTTACATTCAAGTATTTGCTCGTCATTTAGGCTCAGGAGTAAAATTTATGCTCATTGCACTAACGAGAACTTCTAAATATTCAAATTCAAACCCAAAACCTCAATTTTAAGAAACACTTTAATATTCATTGGCTATGTATGAATTTGAAATTTTCTTGCTTGATGAAAAATCACAAGCTATTATTCACTAAACGTAGCTCAAGCTGTACGTTTCTTTACTTAACTTCCAATTGAACTTAATTCCCAACTAGAAAAAAATAGTTAAATTTCTTCTTTTTTTTCAATTGAAATATTCCTTTTAGATATATACTTATATTTATATTTATAGGTTGATTGATTTACAACTTAATTAGGAATCGGTCTGACCCCTTCGTCCAAATTAACAATCAGCTTAATTCAGAAAAAAATATTCCAAGATAATTATCAACTTAGAAATCCAAGACTAAAATTAATAATGACACGATATTTAACTTTTTTTATTATTATTTCCACTAACTTTGTAAAGTGTAAACTATACCTCGTCTTTAATACTTTTCTTAATGAACATCAAAAGATTTAAAAGAAAGTTAAAATAGGATAAAGGGATTAATCTTTTTATTTTTATTTTTATTTTTGACAAGAGAATGGGTGTGCGCACATATATAGGTGTAAGAGGAATGGATTGAGTTAATAAATAAATAGATTATTATATTTAATGCCCCCAAAATTACACAGGCTGAAATGAGCTAAAAACCGGGTCAAAATTTAAATGGAATGGGTGTGCACACATATAATTTTTCAATAGCTAATAAAATTATTATTTTTCTTTCTTATAACTATATAAAACATACAAAAACACGTATTTTCAAAATATTTTGATAAAAACTTTTTTGGGCAAAATATCAACCCAAATTCTAATGGACTGAGCTAATAAATGAGTGTGCGAGTAAATTATCACTTTGGAGAGTTATAATTTCATGACTAATTTTATCACCTCTATGTACAACCGCATAGGGTAAACTCCGATTTAATATAGTAGCTCGTAAACAATACTAAAAAAGATAAAATACACTAGACAAATCCAAGCGATAAGCTCGATTGAGAAATTAATCATAGAGATCGTAATTAATTAGGTTTAAATTTTTCATGAATATAGAGAAGTAGAAGCTGATAAATTAATGCGTAAACCCCAAATCTTAAGCACATGAAGATAAATATTGACAACTAGGACATTAACACATGTACTTTAATGTAGTACACGCAACAATATTTTAAATATTATTTTTTTACACAATTAATTAATTAATTAGTTGGCATATACTTATCAGCATATTCCTTCACGACTTGTCTTAATTTTCCCTATAAATTGAGACATAACTATATCAAACTAAAAATACCTTCTTTCTATTTTACTCACCCAAAAAGAAAATTCAAAAGTTTATTGTAGGAGAAATTATTATTATTATTATTAAACTAGAAAATGAAGAAATCTCAAAAATCATTGTTGATTAAGATTATTGTTGTACAATGTTTGTTAGTTCTTTGTGTTGCAGCACAAGACTTTGATTTCTTCTACTTTGTTCAACAGGTATGTCCTCTTAACTCTATTTTGTATACATATCGAGCAGTGGTGGAAGCAGGAATTGTAACAAGATTCAAATTAAAAACTTTGAACTTGTAACATAAAGTATTTTTAGAATATCTTTGCCACTACAATAATAACATCACTTATAGCATTATATAACAAATTTTTACGTTATCAGATCATCTTAAAATTTCGTTATGATATTATTGTAGTGGCCAGCGTCTTATTGTGACACGAGGCGTAGTTGTTGCTATCCTACTACTGGAAAACCAGATGAAGATTTTAGTATCCATGGTCTATGGCCAAACTACGAAAATGGAAAATGGCCACAAAATTGTGATAAGGAAAGCTCTTTGGATGAATCTGAGGTATATTCACATTAATTTTCAAACTTTAGCTTTGAAATAATCTAGCTATAGTAAGCAATAAATTATTATAATTAGGTATACGTCAATATCGTTTTCAACTTGTACAAATGGGATCTTTTATATATTGTTAAAGCCTTCCCTAATAGAGTATATAAAAAAGCGTATAATCTATGTATATCTGATAGAAAAAGAAATAGTGAATTTAATTGGGTATTTATGCTACGATTCCATTATTTTTAGACTTGTTCTTATGGTATATCCCACATTCCGTTTATTTAACGAAAGAGTATATGATGCTTTTTAATAAACTAAAAAGAAAATTGTGTCAAAATATGAAAAAAATAATTAATCAATATATGTTGTTTTTATATAGTATTTTTTATGTAATTTTTAAATACGTAGATTTTATTTTAAGAAAACATGAAGAATCATATATTAGGCTTAAACATTAAGAAATCATATGTAGGTACTTTGACCTATCGGATTAGTTAAAATAATTAATCAACACATACAAAGATGACATTTCAAAACAAGTCTTAATTTATTTTGGTTCCCGCCGCCGGATGTTCGGTATTCAGAATTTGGATTCATGTTGGAAAGTCCCTAATAAAGATAACTTTGTACCTAGTGAGACTCGAATACGAGACCTTTGATAAAGAACGAAGGAGTACTTACCATTCCATCACAATCCTTATTGGTAGAATTAGTCTTAATTAATCCTTCATCACGAAAAGGATTAAAGAACTGCTAGGGGTAACTTCCAAGTTGATTCTTTCAACTTTTAGATTAATCACAAAAGAGATTGAAACCTGCCAAAATGAAACTGAGTTAATTAATTCTACTTTAGGTACAAAAGTTCCTTTGTTTATCTTTAATAATATTTACTTATACAGTACTCCCTCCATCTCATATTAATTGTCTCACAATACTTGTAATTTTACAAAATTAAAATAAATTAATAATTTTTGTTCCATTTTATCTTTAAAATTAAGTATTCTTGAAAATAAATATTAATTAGAGTGCAATTAATATGAGAGAGAAAAAAAGGATAAAGTAGTAAATATATTTTTTTTATTTATGATTCCTTAAGGAGCCTAGAAAAAAATAAAATAACTAATATGAAACGGACCTAGTAATATTCATGCATGTTGTCAAGTTTTAGATGATTTTTTTTTCTTTTGACAAAAAAGTATAATATGTTATTCCTACTTTTTGGTGCCCATGTTTCCTTGCTTAGACTTCTTGTTTTTAGGTATGGATTTATATATCCACTTGCATAATTTTGCTTCTACGAAATGTTTTTCTTTCCTCGTATTAATTATATTTCTACTTCAAGATTATGTAACTAATTTAAAATTTTAAATATTTTATAAATAAGTTAGTGTAGAATTCTTGACTTGAGACTTGTTGCTTAGAACCCATGTTTAATTCCTTGCTTAGTTGTTCTTGTTTTTAGGTTGTTGGACATGATGGGATATTGCATTTGCTTCTACGAATGTTCTTTCTAAGTGGTCATTTTGGGTCTGGAAAATATTTTCTAATTTTTTCATGTTTGATAGATCAAAATTTTGAAAAATATTTTCTTAAAATGAAGAAAGTGACTTGTTAGTGGAAGCGGCCGGGGAACTTTCACAAGTTACATTCCATATCGATAGTGTCCTTCCCACCTTTCATAATAGTTGTCCAGATTATATTCAAATGCTTTTAGGAATTAGGAGTAATATTTTTACTTAGTACTGAATTCAAGTAAATAAGGGTAATTACAATCCAATATCTTACAAGTAAATAAGGGTAATTACAATCCAATATCTTTGAGTGATCTAGTTAACAAAATAGCCAGCAAATGTATAAATTTTGTATATTTAACTATAATATACATATTCGATGTATAGGTTTTATAAATTTCAGCCATATTAGTAAATAAGTTTCGCCGAAATCATGTACATATATTAATATTTTCCTTCGTATCGAACACACCTTTTTGTCTTATTGAGTTGTATATATGAAATGTTTCTAATCCAAACATTTTCCAATAAAACCATGCTTAAATAATTACCAAGTAGAAAATTCATGCAATAAGCTAATTATTTTATTTTATTTTGTATGTTGTATATATGCAGTTCTCAGATCTTATAAGCACAATGGAAAAGAATTGGCCATCACTTGCTTGCCCAAGTAGTGATGGTTTGAAATTTTGGAGTCATGAATGGCTAAAACATGGCACTTGTTCAGCTCTTAACCAACATGCCTATTTCCAAACTGCACTTGACTTCAAGACCAAATCTAACCTTCTTCAAAATCTTAACAATGCAGGTAAATAAATATATTATAGAGTTTATAGCTTCTATACATTGACTTACGTGTAAAATAATATGTATAGTATCAGGTCACTTAAAAGATAACTATAGGAAACCTTCTAATATATGAGATCACGGACGATGGATGTAGCCTTTTGGCTACGGTTTACTTGAACTTATAACTTTCGATACAATGTATAAACACACAAACTATGTGAGAGAGATATTAGCAATGTTCATAACAAGTTAAAATAATAGTCTATCAAAAACAACCTTTATACCTTAGAAAGATAGGGATAAGATCTGTATATATATATATATATATATATATACACCCCATTTTCTTCAGACTCACTTATGAAATTACACTGAATGTTATTGTTATATTAATTAGAAGTTAGATGCTAACTTAATTTTTTGTTGATTATTAATTAGGGATTAAACCAAGGAATGGAGAACATTATAGTGTAGAAAGCATTAAAAATGCAATTGAAGAAGGAGTTGGACATACCCCATTCATAGAGTGCAATGTTGATTCACAAGGGAATCATCAATTATACCAAGTTTACCTTTGTGTGGATTCTTCTGCATCAAAATTCATTGATTGCCCTATTTTCCCACATGGACGAAAATGTGGTTCCAAAATTGAATTCCCTCCTTTCTCCTCAAATGATGACCATGCTGAATTTTAATTATTTTTTTAAAACTAATTAATTCATCATGATCATATTCTTGATCTTCTATGTTGTATTTTTAATTGAAACCCTTTCATATTTGTACTAATAAAATCTCATTCCAAGGTAACAAGATGTCAAAATATATTTAGTGAAAAAAGGTCAATATTGACTCTAATTTGTTCATTTTGTTTTTGGCTCAAAATTATCCTATCATTAATGATGTAATTCACTTTCGCATATTAATTTTACCTCTAAACTATTCGAAATAGGATAACTTTTTCCGAAGTTTTCAAGAGAATCAAGAAATTGCATTTTAAAATATTGATAAACTTACCTAAATTTCATTAGTTTAGGAGTTAATTTACTTAGATGCATTCTAGTTTGCAATATTACAAATTTAACCAGATTTTGGTGCGTTCAGATACATGTATCTTGATATACATGAGTCAAAATTAGATATAATTTATTCTAGATACACTGTATCCAAATAGAATTCACATGTATCTAGGATACAAAACAAATCTCGCTCACCTACTTCCCATTCCAGCTGCCACTCTCCTATATATTTGGTATTTCAGATACATGCGAATTATACTAGATATGTGATTCGCATGTATCTGGGATACATGATTATCTCGCTTGTCTCCATCCCAAACTCGCTCGCCTTTCTCTTTATTTTAGTGTATCTGGTAGTAAAAATACATGTATCTAGGTGTATTTTCCTCAATATATATTAGAAAATTCTTAATTAATAAAAAGATACGTAATTATTTAATATATATAATATGAATATATATCTAATAAGGTAGTTTTCCCATGACGTTATCTGAAATTTCATCGAAGGCAATGAAGCAATTACATTTTAAACATTTTGTTGGAGTGACTTGAGAGAAGCCCATATGAATTTGCCCAGCATTTAGCCCAACAATCAGCTCAGCTCAGGCAGCCCACATCTTTGTTTTCCTTATTTTGGTTACATTGTATTTATTCATTTTTACCAGTTTTATCTACAAATATAAATATTGCTAGATCTTTCTACATGTGTATCAAAGGGGAAAGTAGTGTGGCGGAATCTCTAGTATTAAATGTTTTAGTGAGATCTATTTTTTACTGGGGAAATATAGTCAAACATTTAATGTTAACAAGAATTAGAATTAACTTATATAACATTTGTTCCCATATAATCGATATTTTAGAAGCAAAACCTCTCGATCCTGCCTCCTCGTGTGAAAATGCTTTTCGTGATATCTATCTCTATCTCACCAGCTCTTTCTCTCTTTAATAGGTTTGAGGTAGTTCAAGTCCCATGCCATTTTTTTCAATAACTTAAATTAAATTCTTATTTAAGTTCCCTTCAAAAAAAAATTATATTATTCTAACCTTTCAAAATTAGCATCTAATTACCCAATAAGTTGAGTAAAAACATAATTCCTTTGGGCGACTCTTTCTCTCTCTCTCTCTCTCTCTCTCTCTCTATATATCTCTCTCTCTCTCTCTCTCTCTCTCTCTCTCTCTCTCTCTCTCTCTCTCTCTCTCTCTCTCTCTCTCTCTCTCTCTCTCTCTCTCTCTCTCTCTCTCTCTCTCTCTCTCTCTCTCTCTCTCTCTCTCTCTCTCTCTCTCTCTCTCTCTCTCTCTCTCTCTCTCTCTCTCTCTCTCTCTCTCTCTCTCTCTCTCTCTCTCTCTCTCTCTCTCTCTCTATATATATATATATATATATAGAACAATATTCTATGTTAATACAATTAGCTTCATTCATGTATACAAATGATAAAAAAAAAGAAGGTATACAGTGTAACACATACCTTGAGCAAGTCAATTTTATTTTAGACACAAATATATATATTATCAAAGTATATGTAAAAATATATTTAATTTAATATGGACAATTTTGTGATGAAAAACGATGTTAATATATGCGTGTACGTTCAATTTAATGTTGGTAATTTTATAATATACATGTGGTTCATGTATATACATAAATATAATGAAATTTGTCAATCGAATATAAAGTAAATTTGTTATATACATTCGGTTCAAGTACATACTTTTGATGAATTTAATACTGTAATGACCCGTAAAGTCGTTTTTGGAAATTATCATATAAATTATCATTTTTACCCCTTTGGATAATTGCATGAGTCAATTATTTTGATAAATCGGTGGAGTTGATTTAGAAAGTTTTGAGCTATTTGTTAATTACGATTATTTAGTGGATGGGTGATTTTTAAATAATTAATTTTAATTGGGAGTTAATGGGCCAAGCCCATGTGTAAAATTGAATTACATTAGAAAGGTTTATTACTATTTTGCATAACACAAGTAGTAAGCTAATCCACGAACGGTGCGGCAACAACACGAAGACACCACTTTGCTGCAGGTAATTCATCACCACACCAAAATTTTGTACTATGATTATGGATAGTCATGTTATTAGTGCTATTATTATGTATTTGGCGTGAATAGAATTGGATTTGAGACTTGGTGTCGTGTCGGCTTATTAAATTGAGGGCAAGTTCTTGCTGCTATCGATAATTGTTTATGGGGATTAGTGGTAAGTGTTGTAGGATTGAATTGATGAGAATATATCATACTAATATATTATTAATATGTTAGCAGATAAGGAATTGGAATACAGTATATGTTTTGCAACATGTGGTCAGAATGTATTATGGATAGTTGAAGCTATGGTTAATAACGACCTACTGATTTTAGGGTAGTTATAGGCCAATAATTGAATATTTAATTGTTGGGGGATAAATTATAGGAATATAACTTGTATCAATATGTGCCGTTCTGGATTGGTTTTTCCGTGAACAAAATTGCGATGTTCACAAATTTGGAATTCTAGTGTTTCTCCAATTCCTTCTTATAATTATCACTTATGATTCAAGCTTTGAGATATTGAGACATGTAATTAATTACTAGGTGCATGATATCATATGAATACCATTATATTTATGATATTTGGAGAAATTGGAACTTAGCCCTAGGCTTGAAATTTGGAAAACATGAGAGTTGACATGTTAATTGGCACCAAGATTAAGAACTTGATTATAAATTGAGTGAGTTTTTGGGTCTAGGCTATACTTATAGTAATCTGAGTGTGGTTAGTTTTGAAATCTTATTGTAATTATTAATGTGAATAGATTGCTTTGAGTTGGAAGTTCAACGAAAGGGAAGACTCAAGTCTCGTGTAAAATGACTATTGCCAAAGAAACTCATACTTCAAACCCTCTTCATATGCTTGCTCTTCTTGGATGAAAACTAATGAGACTATTTATAGAGGAGTGAAAGGGCAGATTTAGGGGGTAAAATCCATTTGAATTTTGAATCTACCCGTTCCTTTTCGAGGCAACAGTGGAAGGGATGGAAAATACAGTGACTTCCGCGAAAGAGGGAGAAGGGGACGTGAGGGTTTGACGTTGAGGGAGCTAGGATATGGGTTCTGTAGGGGAGTTGTCGCGCGCCACGACGGATACTATATTTTGAGGGACATATCGCGCGCCGCGATGGTTACTATTATCGAGGTTTGTATCGCGCGCCGCGATGGATGCATGGACATATATGTCCCTCATGGGTCCCGGACTGAGAGACAGCGGGTGTGTATCATTAGGTCAGACATGCATCACTATACTTGACATTGCATTTTATTGCATTGCACTTCTTTATTATTAGTGAATTTGATCTTGTGTGTTGCTGATCTTGTGAGTGCCTTTCTATGGAACTTGTGACTGATGAATATTGAGCCTATTGTTGAAGATATGAAATTGTTAGAGTGTTGTGTTGAGCTATGTGCTTTATAAACTGTGAACTGTTATGTTGGGCTGGTACTAAGCAGGTTGTAATTGTGGAGGTGGTAATTGATGAATATTGAGCTTGTTGTTGAGCATATATGATTGTTAGAATGTTGTTGTTGAGATATGTGCTTGTAAATTGTGAACTGTTAGGTTGAGCTGGTTTTATACAAATTGTAGTTGTGAAGGTTTGGTTGGGGTGTAAGGAGTGCTTGTATTCTATCCCCTTAGCTCGTGTTTAGAGTTTACTTGCTGAGTACCGTGTGGTTTGGTACTCACCCCTTGCTTCTACAAATTTTTGTAGGTTACGAGCCTGAATTTTTGTGGTACTTGTCATTCTCTTATTTTCCGAGACTTCTGGGAGATTTGTGAGGTAGTTGTTTGTCTTCTCAACGATCCTTCTTACTCCTGTTTATGATCTTGTTCTACTCTAGAAACAATATCATATGAGACTTGTATTTTTCTTTTGAATCAATTGTAATACTTTAGAGGCTTGTACACGTGACAACCAGATTTTGGGGGTATTTTAAAGTTGATTATAAAATTTCCGCATTTTATTGTAATGGTTGAGTTTTAGGCTGACTTGTCTTGGTGGGATAAGCCGAGTGTCATCACTCCATTTTTGGGTCGTGACAAATACAATATAGACAAAATATATTGTAAATATTTGATTCTAATATAAAGTAAATTTGTTATATACATTTGGTTCAAGTGTATACTTTTGATGGGTTTAATACAATATAAACAAAATATATTGTAAATATTTGATTCATGTATACACTAGTAACTTAGGTGTACATTATTTTGATTCGCAGAAAAAGAAATAAAAGAAAAAGACCAATTTCACCAAGTTTAGATAGAAAAAATACTTATTTACCTGGTTAAGTTAAGTTATGCATATTATTAGGCCCAACAAATTAGAGACAAAAAAAAATATTTATTGATATATAAAATCCATTTTCTTCCCCTCTAGATCTAATCAATTTTGGCAGAGTTTCTATCGGCCTTTTTCATTTTTCACTATGCTCACTCCTCCATTTTCCACCCTCACCTCCGTTTTAGTTGACTGAGTTATCTCAATATTTTTAGGTCAACAATTTGCTAATTTATTTTTGGTTATGTGGACGAGGTTGTGGACACAATATTGTATATATATGTCAATTTTCCCTTATTTTCCAGAATTACCCAAATAACTGTCCAATATAACCTATGCCTCCAATAATCCATCCAAACTTTTCATTTTGATAAGATATTTCTCGAATGATATATATAATGTATTTTTATTTTTTTTCATACTTCTTAACCATTAAAAATCTAATCTTCATCTAAAGAGATTATTCAAGCATCTTTTAAGAAGAATGTA